TACGCTGACCTGAGTGTCATCACCACGCCGGTCCCAGCAACACGGCCAGAGCAGAGGGTGACAGCTGTCTGTGTTTCCACCTCACTGCTGTCCTGTGAGCCTCTGTGTCTACCTGATCCCATGCTGTTGCCTATCAGACAGGGCTAAGCACTGTCCTAGGGCCCAGGGGACAATAGGTTTGGGAGTAGTGCTGCAGGGCAGACAGGTAAATGCCAGAAAGTGGTCAGGAAGTCAAGCCAGGCATGGTGGTGCACACCTGTGATACTAGTGCTTTGGAGGCTGAGGCAGGAGGATTGCCATGAGTACACAGTAAAACCCTGTCTCAAAAAGAAAGAAGTCAAGCCAAGTTCAGATCGGGGAACAGCTGTCGTAAACCCAGCCATGAGGAAAATAAATAGAATGAAGTAACAGGGCTGAAATGTACCACAGCCTGACCTGAGGAGTGGAGGAAGGGTCGAGGAAGAGACACAGACAGGGCACAGGACCTTTCCCAAGCCTGGGGACATGTCCTTTGTACATCTGCTCTAAGCATGTTTTGTGATGGCAGCCTGTCCCAAATAGAACCAGCAACAATGTTCACTCGGCGTCCTCCAATTTCAGTGCCACAGCGGCATCTCAGTCCTCCTGGCTTCACTGCAGCAGCTCTGAGGTGGTTATGGTTTGGGTCTGGATGTCCCCCCAAAGCCTCATTCAGTCAGAGGTGGCTGAATCTGGAGTGTGTGATGCTAGGATTAAGGGCATGTGATCGCTAAACCAGTACACCTGAGTGAGTGGTTTGGCACTGCCCTACTCCTGAGCCTGGATGGGATAAAAGAGGCAGAAAGACTCGGTGAAGCTCTCTCGTTACCTTTGCTACCTTGTGCTCACCATGTTGTTTCTCCTCTGTGATGCCTGTTTGCCATCTCTGCCTTGGAGCCAGCCGACTAAGGACCGAAACCTCTATGAACTGTGAGCTAAATAAACCCCTTCCCCTGTAACTTTGGGTGTCAGGAATTTTGTCTCAGCAAGGAGAGAACAGTAACTAGCACAGAGGTCTTCCTCTTTAGCCTCCCCTCCAGTGTCTGATTAGAAAGTCTCCTGTCTCCCAGCGGACTGGAATGATTTTGTGAAAGCTGTGAGCTAAATATGTTAAAGCTTAACAAAGTGGAGTCGGGAGGCCACAGGGAGTGGTTCTCATGTATATTTGCCTTCTAACAGGAACTATCACAGGAGACTCAGCAAAAATTGCAACCTTGAACAAAAATACCTGCGGGCAACCATTCAATAACTGCCCTCGGGCTCAGACAGAAATTTCCCTTGTTTATCCTTGCAATCAAGGGCACGCATTTCCAAACAACTGATGTGCCCCTTCTCATTTTACCTTTAGTACCCTTGTCACCATGGTCCACCACAGCATGCGCATCAGGGATCACAATCTCTAAGTCATCTCCAAATCAAATCTTTGCTTTGGAGAGCTGCTCTCTCTGCCACTCATGTTGGGGCGAAGATTGCCAAGTGGAATGATGTTCTTCTAACGTCAAGAAAACATGTGAACCCAACTTCATAGCATTTGTGGCTTGGGCAGACTGTGACCTACCGGAGGTGCGAGTTCTGTAATGAATGCATATCTGTCACTGTCGACAGTGTCTCCAAATGTGAGAAACTAGCACACATTTTGGTCTGCGAGCGGCCCGGACCCCTTGCAGCAATACCTCAGCCCCTGGCGGGAACGCTGGCCCGCACTGAGCACGCACTGGGTTGCCCTGAGGTCCCTCTCTTCGGCTTCTCAATGGGAAAGTGCCGCTGATACCTCGAGATCGCTGGGCAGAACAATGCTGTCACGGAAGGATGAAGGCACTGCGGAGTAGGGCAGGAGGCGGCATTTCCAAACAGCAGCTGGCACCACCGTCGACACGTCTCTGAAACCGAACTTAGAATCTTATCCTCCCTGTAGCGGTGCTACCCTATTTCAGTTCCCGTTAAATGGAATTTGGGGGTGATTTCTTTCGGGTGGAGATTCTGCATGTGGGAAATCGCCGAGCCCAGTCGGTTCCCTTTAAATCCATGCGCTGTGTGCAACTCAGCTCGGGCCGCCACCCCGGCACAGGCCTTGAGGTCCCCTGCAGGCAGTCAAATGCGGAGCGGACCCCAAGACGCAGGACTGAGGCCCGAGACGGAAACAGACTCCAGTAGCGCCGGAAGTCGGGTTTGTCGCTGGCTGCTGTGGGCCAGGCTAGGGAAGCTCCCGTCCGTCCCGGGGCGCCCTCTGAGGACCCGCAAGGGCGGTGCTTCTCGAACTCCTCAGGGCGCTCTCGGGCGTGCTTGCTGGCCAGCTCTGGAGTGGGCCCAGGAATCTGCAGATCAAATAGTCATCCTAGAGCCTCCAGTGCAGGGAAGTCCCCGAGGAACCTCTGCATCCGAGACCTGCCGCGCCTGCGTTTCCTGGGAGACGGCGGAGGGGAGGAGTGAAGTCCGGAGGCCAGGCCCTGGGGCGGAGCCGGGGGGGGCGACGCGGTGACGTCAGGCGCACGGCCACCCCGGGCGGCCCGTGGGCGGGGTCACACGGACAAGTTGGTCCTGACTGGGGTCGCGGCGTCTTCGGACCAGCCTTCCTTCCGTGCGTGTCCCAGCGCGCTGAGCCCGGGCATCGAGCCCGAGTGAGCTCCCACGCGAGGAGGCCCTCGTGCAGGGATCCGCGGGGAGACGCGGGAAGGAGGCCCTGCGTGACGTGGCGCATCCTGGACTCCGTCCTCGAGCTCACGGGGCAGCTGCCGCCCGCCGCGACTAGAAGGGGCCAAACGTCTCTCGCTGCAGGGAGGCCACGAGAAAGACAGACTTGCGAGCGCAGCTACGGGTCTCCTGGCTCGGGTTCGATTCACGAAAGGGAGAACCTTCCTCCGGCCGAGGGGAACAGCGGGACTTCAGGTGGGAAGGAGGAGGGAACAGAGAAGCCAGTGTCAGGTGACCTCAGGTTCCTTTTTCCAAGGAAGAGCAAGGAGACCTAGATGGACTGGATCTGCTGTAGGGAAAGTGGGCTGTCTGGCACCTTTGGCTTCTGCAGGGTTCAGTTTGATCGTGAAGCACTTCGTGACTCCATCCTGGTCTGGTCCGGGGCCCCCAGTGCAGAAGCTCAGACCCCAACCATAACCCCTCATGGTTTTACCAGGGGAAGAGAGGAGCTGCAGCCGTCTACAGAGCAAAGATAAATAATAAACCGTCACTGCCTGCCTGGAACTGTCAAGGGCCTGCTGTGGTGTACTGTGGCCTGAGCAGCCCAGACATAGTGTGTATGGGACGGCCTTGCCCTGTTACCCTGACGCACGGGCCTGGTAAGGTCACCCAACTCAGGTGCTGGAACGTTGGGATTTGGGCCAAGGCAGTCTGGTTTTTGCATCTTGTTTGCAACAACAGTGCTGTGATGCAGGACCATTGGTGGCCTTAGAGCATGGGACGTAGGGAGCTGGTTAGGATCATGGCACTGGAGGCAGCTGTGCCTGATAGCAGTGGCAGGATCTTGTGTGGTTGACTCCGCTCTAAGAAGCTTTAGTGTCTCACCTGGAAAAGGAGAACACTGGTGGTTCTTGGGCTGGTTAGGAGCCACCGAGGTTACCCAGTCACATGCATGCAGTACTCACGCAGCAGTTGGGGGCACCATGGTAGGCTTAAAGAGGAAGAGAGAGATCCAAGGATTCTATAGGCATTAAGGAGGCGAGGTGAGGGGCTGATGGTTAATTTGGTCGTGGGCCTAAGGGCGGGGGGTTCCAGGGTGACTCGCAGGTGCATAGCCTGAGTGACTCCTGGGCCCCTGACTGGCGTGAGGCCTGCAGGAGGACAGACTGGGTCCGGGAGAAGGAGAACTCGGCTCTGTGCCTCATAGGATTCTCTCGTAATGCTTCTTTATTTCTTTAAGTTCAGTCCTCACATCCCCTCTGATTTCTGATTGGGAATCTGGGTTTTTCTCTTTCTCATGGGGTCAGCATGGCTGAAAGTTCGCCCATCTTGGCCGTCTTTTCAGAGAACTCGCCTCTATTTCCATTGCTTTTCTCTGTCGCTCTCCTCCTTTCCACCCCACTGTGTCCGGGTCTCACCGTCTCCCGTGTTCTTCCTTCCACTTGCTCTCTGTTCAGCTCGTGCCACCCTTCCTGTGTCCTGGGTGTTGCTCCAGGACCTGACTTGGGCTGGAGCCTCCTTCTCTGCTGCTTCACGGCCAGAAAGCATGGTCCCTGGGAGCCTCTGTTGCTCCAGTGTCAGTAGAGGCCTCAGTACATGGCTCGAGGTGACTGGGAGGGCCACCCAGGGCTGGGTCCCTGGCTCTCGGGCCACTGCACTCTGTCTTCTCCCTTTCTGGGAAGCTTCACTGTGACCGTCATAACCCTCCACTATTTCAGCGGTCCCAGGGAAGGAACTGAAAGTTACTCTGGGCCTCTGGGCCTGGACTCAGCTTTCCTGGCTTCCTGTAGGCCTGCATCTGTAAGCCAGTGTCCTCCAGGGCTGTGATTAGCCAAGGCTGTTGGAGAAGGATCCAGGCCACTCAGAAAATTGCAGAATGATTTTCTGGGCCAGAGGGGTAAGCCAGACGCCTGCATATTGAGTAGAGACCAGGACAGATGCCTGTGGTCAAAGGTTCCGTGGCAGATGGCTGTGCCCGGTGGGCGGGGACATCATGTACTGCTGTACATGGCTGGACTTTAGCAGGGAAGCTCCCGGGCCCTGGGGAGGTATCCCCAGGGTCGAGGTGTCCTTAGGCAAGGCCATGGCAACAGGAGAAATGCGCTGTGGACCTTGTCCTCCCTGGGGGCAGGCTCAGGCCCCAGGGCTGCTCTTGCTGTCCCATGCCAGCCAGTGGAGAAATGAGGCCAGGTCACCTCCCTTACTCCTCTGGAACCCAGTGCCCAGTGCTGGCTGTCTTGCCACCCTTGGGCTTGGTTTTCTCTAGGCACAGCTGGCAGCCAGGTGTGCGGTAGGGGAGGGAAGAGGGGGGCTGCTGTGCAACGCATGGCTCAGGGTGTGCTCCATGCAGGATGGCGCCCACACTGGAAGGCTGTGACGATGTCTTGTGGCCAGATCCCCCTCGGGGACCCCTTGATGCCTACCGAGCGAGAGCATCCTTCAGCCGTAGGGAGCTGCAGCTCTTCTGGGAGGGTGAGGACATGCTCCGCTTCAAGGTGAGGACCAGGGGCTGCGGCATCTGTCATAGGCCCCAGGGGGTCCACAGGGGACCTCTGTTCACAGGCAGAAACGGGGTTACAGCCCTGAAGCCCTGCGGCCTCCCTGGCCTTCTCTGCTCGGTGAGGTGGGGGCTGTCCCAGAACAGCACGGGCCCCTCTCTTCGAACCCCAAATTGCCAGGAAGACTGGAACGGGTCAGACTGTGTCCCAGCCGCGTGTGGCCTTGAGAAAAGCCTATGTAAGAAGGGGACGTTTCGTTCTCGGCCCCCAGCTAGTGTCCGGTCTCCTGCATTTTCAGAAGACCGTCTTCTCGGCTTTGGAGAAGGACCCGCTCTTTTCCAGTTCCCGTGGCCCTGAGCTGCCTCTGGAGAAGTACCGAGAGCTGAGCTTCCTCCGGTGCAAGCGGGTCTTGGAGTATGGGTTCTTCAGCTTGGACAGCCTGCTGCAGAACCCGCTGCAGCTCCTGGCCTTGATCAACTGCCTGGGCGCATACGACTGGTCAGTGAGCACCAAGTTCGCCCTCCACCTGATGGTGAGTCTGTGTTCACGCGGGGCCCTTGGGACTCACACCTGTACACTGTGACTGCTATCTCCTGCAGTCAGGTCAGCATTTCAGATTTAGTAAGACCTTGGCCTTGCTGGCCACATGTGTGCATTTGCACACCTAAGTTCTTGAATATAGTGCAGTGCTGTGAAATGTAAGGTCCTGAAGGAGGAGGTGCCTTGGGCCTTTTTCTTTTGCATATATATACAAGATCTGATCCAAACACAGGGTGAGTGTTTAAATTTTAAAAATTGATTGCAGTAAGAGACACATTCCCATTAATTCCCCCTTGCTTCAAACACACTCATCCCGTCGTCCTCGACACTTTCTGCAGCAGCTCCGGAGTCCTCTTTCCTGAGAGTCTTTAGCTTTCGTGGCTGCCTCAATGTCCTGAATGTATTCAAATTGCTTCCCTTTCACACAGTCATTTGCACTTTGGGGAAGAGCAGGAAGTCACATGGCACCAGGTCTGGTGACTAAGGTGAACAAGGAGGACACAGTGTCATGTTTTTATGAGCCTTTCTGTAGGATAGGTAAAGACAGTCGTGAAAGAGGACTCCAGAGCTGCTTCAGAAGGGGACAAGAATGAGATGAGTCTGTGAAGCAAAGAGGGTGATTTTGAGGGGGGTTCATGGCAAAGTGTCTTTCGCTGTAATAATTTTTTAAGATGTGAACACGCCATATTCTTGGACCAGCCTGTATAGAGTATATATTTACGTATATCATATTGTATGTTATACGTGTGGCTGTGTGAAGACCAATAGGAGAAGGAGAGTATATCCAAGCAAGAAAGCAGTTGCGTTCCTTCCCTTTGTCCCCTTAGAGACGAGCCCGGGCCGTGCTGTGGCCTCATCCCTGCGTGTCTCGTGTGGCTTGGTGGCTCTCTCCATCCTGTCACCAACCTCTCTCAGACCCTCCGGATGTCTCAGGCATCTGCGGTTGAGGGGACGCTGCTTAGCTGGTGTGGGCCGCCTGGCACGGGCAGATGAGCATGGGGAGCCTGGCGGGGCGCCTGTCCTCCTCCTGGGGCAGCGTGGCAGGCAGGGGCACACGAGGGTGCGAAGTGCACATCAGCCGTGCGGGCGAGCAGCCGTGTCCTTTGTGCCCACCGTGTGTGTGACAGTGCTGTGTCTCCAGGTTTTTGGATCAACTCTTTACAGCCTGGGCTCTGAACGGCACCTCAAGTATGTTGAAAAGGTCCTGAACATGGAGGTAGGTGCGGGGCCTGGGGAGCGGAGGGCTCGGTTCTCCCCCCGTGCCCCCAGAGTGTGTGGGAAGGCGATGGTGGGAGAGGGTTCCCAGGACCTGGAGAGCTCGCTGTCCCCTGGGTGGGGGTGGCGACCAGCGTGATGGGTGACACAGGAAGTCTGCCTAGGCACGGGGGAGGCTGGGGCGCCCGTCGCAGCTGGCCTCCAGCGTGAACGGTGGTGGGAGCCTCCCAGGGACCCTTCACTGCTCATGGCTTCTCGGTTCCGTGTCTAGATCTTTGGCTGTTTTGCTCTGACTGAACTGAGTCACGGGAGCAACACCCAGGCCATTCGAACAACCGCTCACTATGACCCTGCCACGGAGGTAGGTGCCACCTTCCACCAGACGGGCCCAGGGTGGGAGCCGATGAAATGCCGTGAGCAACCCGGTTAAGAGCTGAGAACCCTGAGCACACACGTGTTGCTTGTGAGAGAGGCTCTGGAGCTGGACATGCTGACACAAGCGTGTGACCCCAGCAGGGAGGCTGAGGCAGGGGGATCGCCATGAGTCTGAGTTCAGATTGGTCTACACAGTGAGCTCAAGGCCAGCCTGGGCTACACAGAGAGACCCTATGTCAAAAAACAAACAAAAAAAAGAGGCGCTCTGAGACCATGTGTCACACTAGGGGGCGGGAGCCCATGCCCTCTGTGAATTTAGTGTGTGACAGGAATGTGGGGAGGGGCATGCCATGTGCGGCCTCGCCAGAGCAGGGACCCCAGCTGCTGTGGGGCCCAGGCCCAGTCAGAGCAGGCTGAGGGAAGCTGCTACCACACAGGCCCTCATGGCTCTTGCCCAGTTCCCGAGCCTCAGGATTCTGTCTGAATCCAGGTCTCTCTGGCTCCAGGGCTCCTTCCCCTCCCCGTGGTGCCCGTGGCCCCCACAGGCCCAGACTGACTGGCGGGCAGAGGACGGTGCCCTGTGCCCGGCCACAGGCCAGGGTCATCCTGGTCTCAGGTGCTGCCATTTCACCAGCCTCCTCCTGACACCTGGTCCCTGAGTGAAGATCAGAGGGATATCAGGGGGGTGGGCTCAGGGGCGCTGGATCCCTGCTGTGTGGGTGTGGCCTTGAGCCTGGGTGGCGCGCGGGAGCCCAGGATCTGGATGCACCTCTGCTGCTGTGGTAGAAATAAAGCAGGGCCAGTCTTCTGCTTAAAGAGTGCAGTGGAAAAGGTAGAAGAAAAAGCGCTCCACAGGGACAGCCTGTCTGCGATGACGCGTGACAGCAAGTGCCATCTGGGCCCGTTTTCCAGCAGGCAGCGTGTTTTGCACAGGTCTTATTGCTTGGAAATTTGTCATCATTTCCTGGATAAGGCGCCGCTGTAAGTCTTGGACCCGGAATACGCTGTGTATTCACAAACAAGGCCCCATGTGGCATGGGGAAGAGTAAGCATGGTCCCTCTGGCCTCTGAGATTTCAAGCCTGGAACACTGGATCTTTCTGGAAGGGAAACGAATGGGCTTCTACCCCTGTTGCCCTTGGTGATTGCCCCTGACTTCCCCTGCAGGAGTTCGTCATACATTCCCCTGATTTCGAAGCTGCCAAGTTTTGGGTGGGCAACATGGGCAAGACAGCGACCCACGGGGTGGTGTTTGCACAGCTGTACACTCCGGACGGCCAGTGCCACGGGCTGCACTCCTTCGTGGTACAGGTATGTGGGGACGGTCACCCGAGGCCACGTGTGGTTTCCACGAGCGCGGACTTGTACCCAGAGCGGACTCGGTGGAAATGTCCTGCTGCAGAACTCGGTTCTTTCTTTTAGACCACGTGTCTTAATCACTTTCTTGTTGCTAAGATACAGTACCTGACACCCACAAATTGAAGCAGGAGAGGTTTATTTGGCTCACAGTCTGTAGAGGTTCCAGTCTGTAGTTGGCTGGCTCCAAGGCGGGGTGGCACTGCAGAGGGGCCTGCCTGGTTGAGGAGGAGAATCAGCTCGTGGCATGGGAGCTGGAAGCAGAGAGTGGGCAGTCAAGAGGGAGGGCGGGGGATGAACCCTTCCAGGCCACGCCCCCAGTGACCCGTCTCCTCCAAGCAGCCTCATCTCCCAACATCACACTTAGATATAAACTTGTCAGTGGATGAGCCCAGTGATGACTATCACGCCCTATGATCTAGGCATCTCCTAAAATCCCCACCTCTGAGCGCAAGAGGCTCTGGGGGGACATCTAGATAAAACCGTTTTCCAGGGGTCACCAAGGCCCAGCCTCAGGAGGAGGTGCACTGTGGGTGAGCAGAGGCTTCGCTTGTATTTCCAGCTGCTCCCTTCACCCCGAGCCCAGTGTCTGTCAGATCGTCAGGGCATTAGAGTCTCATGGGGTGTGGACCAGTGAGAGCCTACCGAGCTGACTGTGAACCACGCATAGCAGGGTTTCAGGTTCCAGCTCCTTTGGATCATCCCAAAACCACCACCACCACCCCTGCCCCTCCATGGAAAAATTATCTTCCACAAAACTGGTCCCTGGAGCCCCAAAGGTAGGGGCCGTTGTTTTAGGCCACAGAGCTGCAGCATTTGAGGCTGTCTCATGAGTGATGCTAAAACTGCTCCCCAAGACCTTGTCACCCCACAAAGCCTGCTGTGTGCCCAGGTGCTGCAGATCCTGGGAGCGAGGGAGGGAAACCAGAGATCCCAGGATGACTTAACAGGAACTGCGACGTACCCCTGTCCTGGCCGAGGAGGTGGAGGGCCCGGGGTCCTCGCAGGTTGCCAAATGCATTTAGGACCACAATCTCCTAAGGATCATAGGAAATGAGATGGAAATGCCTTTTAGATATGGGTCACACTAACTCGCTAGTTCTATTTCTGGCTTTAGAATTCACTCCTTGATGCAGGAATTATCTGGATATTTATAACTGCCATCTTATCATGTGTTTCTAGGTGAACTGAAAGCTTGTGTTATTTTCTGTTTGATGACAAATGTCAACTGTCTCTGTGATGTGTTCCCTTCTGTGTAATGTGTTCCGTTGCTGTGACAAAACATCCGAGATAATCACTCACAAAGAGGAAAGGTTTGTTTTGGCTCACGGGTTCAGGGGTGTCAGTCTGTGGTCACTTGGTCCCATCATTTTGGCCCTGAGGTTGCAGGGGGCACTTGGAAGCAAAGCTGCTCCCCTCATGGGGGCTGGGAAGCAAGAGAGAGAACCGGGCCCTGGGAGGATCCCCGACTGCCCACGAAGGCTGCACCTCCCAGGAGTAGCACAGGCTGGTGGCCCAGCCCTGGACACATGGCCCTTGGGGGCATTGAAGATTCAAGCGCCGACACTGTCTCTCCATCTTTCATTTGTGGTTGTTGTTTTTAATGGAATTGATTTCAAAAGGTTTTAAAAATTCGTGAGTCTTTACTGAGCCTCATCGAAAGACTTTAGGAAAGGGAAAAGATGGCTTAGGTTTGGATTTTAACCCTTTTTCAATTTTTAAGTATCTGTAACGTTCAATTAAGTTGGATGATTATTTCACAAAATAAACAAAAGCTAACAATTTTTATGAGTAGGTAAATTTCAAATAAGATTTCTTTCTCTCTCTTCTCTCTATCCCCTCTCCCCTCTTCTCTCTGTCTCTCCCTTTCTTTCATTCCGGGGCTGGAGCCCAAGGCCTCGACATGCTCAGCACAGGCTGAGCTGCGAGCTGTGCCCTGCCCTGGGTATTTCTGTGGAGCGGGTTCCCCCCTGGGTCAGGCCCTGTGGTGCACGTCTCGTGCTCGTGCTGTCTGAGATGCTTAGCCAGAGCCCCGGCTCCCCCACTAGCGGCAGCGGTGCCTCTAGAACGACAGGAACATCTGCTGGGGAGGAGGTGGCAGTGCCTCCATGACAGGGGTCCCGTAGAACGAACCCTGGGTCTTTCTCTGCAGCTCACGCCGTGGGACAGGCCACCAGCCGGGTGTGTGCCTTTAGTTACTCAGGTGCGTTTCGTGGACCTCACGCGGGGAGTGGTCTCTGCACAGACATCTCGGTCTGACCCACAGCACGTGTGTGCGTGGCCGTGTTGGCATTTTGTTAGCATCCCTCGGGAGCCCTGCGTCTGAGACCCGAGCAGGGCATCCTGGGGCCCTGCAGCAGCGTCACCCCTTGCCACCATCCTGCCCTGCGGCTGACCCAGCAGGGCAGCACAGGGGGCTTAAGACCACAGAAAGTCAGCTCCACAAAGTCCCGGAGGCTGTGGGCAGGGCTGTCTCACTAGCAGGGAGGCCAGAAGCCTGGGGCTGGGTGTGGGCCGGGCCGTGCTTCTCCTCAGCTCCTGGAGGCTCCTTCCTGCCTCTTCGGCTTCGGGGTGCAGGTGTAGGGGACAGGGGAAGGGGACGTTACCAGAACCTCTGCAGTGAGTCCTGGTCTCCTGTGAGCCACGGCAGCACACGGCGAATTACAGGAAAGGTAGACAAATGAGACTGAGAAGAAGCTGAGCTTTGGGTCTGATCAGGGCTGCTCTGGGCGGCAAAGACAAAAGCCCCCAGCTTACCACACCTTTTATTCAGTACCTCGTAACAAATGACTTGCAGAGAGTTCAGTAGTTCACATTGGGATAAACAAGGTGTAATGGAAGGCTTACAGAGAGTTCGTACATCTCGGGCAAACAAGATGTTAACAGTCCAAGAACAAGGAGGAACTGAGCAGATGTTTGTTCTCCCAGGATGTTTCTTGTCCTGGAGAATCCCAGCATCACTGGATCACTGAAGTCTCAGTGGTGACCGGAGGCCACACTGGAGTTATTCTGCAGCTGGGCTGTAGACAAGAGAACTAGGCTAACCAAGTGATTTTTCCCTAGAATTATGTAGCATTGTTCCCAACATGCAGGTGTCCCTGGAGCCTCTGCCTCCCTCTCCATGTGTCCTTTTCTGTGTACTGTCTCCTCCTCTGTCTGCTGTAAGGTCCTTTGTCACTGGTTTAGGGCCCGGCTGGCTAACCCAGGACAATCTTGTCTCCCAGTTCCCGCTTCCTCACATCCAGAGACCCTATTTCCACCTCAGGCCCCATTCCTAGCTGCTGGGGCTGGGCCTTGGCTGTGTCATTTCTGAGGGACAGTGAGACCCACGGCCACCCCGAGGCATCCCAGCGTTGGGGCTTTTGGACACTTCAGTTTTGCCTTCTGGTGATCCTCGCGGAGCTGTTATTTCCTGCTTGCTTGGTCTTGTGCAGATCCGGGACCCGGAGACCCTGCTCCCCATGCCAGGGGTGATGGTTGGCGACATGGGGCGGAAGCTCGGGCAGAATGGCCTGGACAACGGGTGAGTGTCTCCGTGGGCCTGGCGGCTGCAGTACATGCTCCCTGCGCCCTCCCTTGAGGTCGGCACTGAGATTCCTGCAGGTCCCAGGCTGGGGCCTCCCCGGGCCGTGTGTCCTGACCTTGCCCTGGGTGGCTGTGTCGAGGTGGGTGCCCGGGCCCCCTATCCTGCATGCCCCCGTCCCCAGGATGCCCACCTCTGCAAGGTCCTCTATGGACCGGCTCCCTGCTAGGTGGTGCCCCCCTCTCAGGCCCAGCGGGCCCGCGCCTGTCTCTTCCTGTGTGGGGCCTCAGCCCTGGTGGGCACTGGGCTGGGTGTGCTGGGTCCCCGGGGCTCAGCGTGGGCACCATCACGGTTCTGGCCTGGGCTTGCTCCTCCCGCCAGCTCAGTGTCAGAGCCTGGAAGCCAGAGTCCCGCTGGTTTCCCTGTTCTAGCAGCACCGGGGTGGGAGTTGGGTGGGTGTAGGGGGTGTGGGTGTGGTACAGCAGGGACAGAGCAGTGTCTGGCCCAGGCCCCGGGGAACCTCGAGAGTGCTGGCGGCCAGGCTGAGGCCACAGGCTAGGAACAGTGTCTGGCAGGCGTGGGGACAACACAGGGTAAGGCAGGCCCTGCCAGGGCAGAGGCAGCTTGTGAGATGCATTGGGCCTTTCTGAGGGGTGGGGTTGCAGAGCCAGCACTGGAACTGCTTGAGCTTCGGGATGGAGACCCCACCTGGGCTGCTTCTCACTGGGCTCCTGCTCTGTGGAGTGGCCTGATGACACTGGCCCCTGCTTCTTGAGCCTCGGGATTCTGTCCAAGCCCACATCGCTCTGGCTCCATGGCTCCTTCTCCACTGGTCCCCACAGTGCCCTGGGCAGAGGTCCATGCTGACTGGCAGGCAGAGGACAGTGTCTGTGGTCGGCCCCCACAGAGAAATGTCCTTCTGTCTGTCCCTTCCTGGAAGGCAGGTGTGGGGCTCAGGGAGGTCTGGCTTCTGCCCAGACTTCCCGGCAGGGGAGCTGCAGAGGGCGTGGAGGGTGAAGTCAGCCCAGAGGAGAGGCTGGGGCCGGGGCACCGCCCTGTTGCTTCATGAGTACTGAGGGCTGGGTGATGCCCGTGGCTGGCGTGGTACCCGCCCTGCCCACAGGTCCATTAGCATCAGGATCGTTGCTCATTTGGCTTGAGAATCTCCCACTTTATTTTGGGAGATCTCGGAGAGCCCTGTGCTCTGTCCCCCACACAGCTCCTAGTCCAGAGGGGAACATGTGTGCTCCGGGGCTGGCCTCCATGGGACACTGAGTCGGGCCCTGCCATAAGCCATTGCGTCCTTGTGGAGAAGGCACTGTGAGGCTAGAGACCCCAGCCTCCTGGAGCCTCAGCAGCAGTGACAAGCTGAGCCGCAGCTCCAGGGCCCCAGGAGCTGACCTGGTCGCTCTGCACACCCAGCAGCCAGAGGTCTGGCCCTGGGCAAGGCTGAGCCTGCTGGTGGCCTGCAGGTTGTGGTCTCGGCCAGCAGAGGGCGCCAGGGCTCCGGCACGAAACTGCTGGGGTTCCCCTGCTGCTCTGTTGGCTCACGTGGCAGGATTACAATTCAGCGGAATTTTTAAAAACGAATTTCAAGAGCTTTTAATGTGAAAAAAGTGGTAGTGCGTCCTCTGTCCAGCAGGCCACCCATCTGCAGCGTGGACGCTGTGTCCTAACCCATGAGGGCTTCTGAGGTTTCGTGAAAGATGTTCTTGACACCATTTGTGACCTCAGTCATCCCGAGTTGCTACGGGAATCATTGATATTTTTAAGTTTGTTTTTGGTGGTTTTTTGCAGTTACGTAATAACCATAATTTTGCATAACCTTGTTTCTAAGCTATTGTGAAATAAGGAGGTTTTCCTGACCTGGTGACAGTACAAATATCTCCAAATATTAACGCGTGATATTTGGAGTGGGGAAGCCACGTGCAGAGTCTGTTGTTTGACTTAAGTGCCTAAAACTTCAGTTTGCTGATGCACCTGGCTGGGCCTGGGGTCTGGCTTGAGGGTGCTGTGGGAGACACACTGGTGTCAGGGGCAGGCCTGCCCTGTGTTCGGGTGAGCTGCCACAGCGCCTCCCTGTGTGTCCCTCAGGAGTACCCGTGTCCCGCAGGGGTGAGGGCCCTGGCGGTGACCTCTGCCCACCACGCGTGTTCTTGTCTCTGGGGCTCTGTCACCTTCAGGCCGTCTGGGGACAGGTGAAAAGCCAGGGAAGGCTCCAGTGATAGAAGCTCTTCCCTCTGTCCCACAGTTTCGCCATGTTCCACAAGGTGAGGATTCCCCGCCAGGACCTCCTGAACCGGGCTGGGGACGTCACCCCCCAGGGCACCTACGTCACCACCGTTAAGGTAGGGTGATTCTGCGGGGAGTCTGCGCACCCCCGGCCGCCCCGGGCACATGTGTGTCCGTGTAGCTTGTGGTGCCCCCATCCTGGGAGGCCGGGGAGCACCCTCGCCTTCGCATCGAGCTGCTCTCTGAGCAGCCCCTCCATCTGGCCACCAGTGTCACGGCTCCTTTCCCCCAGGATGCCAAGCAGCGCACTGGGGTGTCCCTGGGCAGCCTGACCTCGGGCCGCATCTTCATCACGGGCATGTGCGTGGTGAACCTGCAGCAGGCCCTGTGCATCACGATCCGCTTCTCAGCCACACGGCGTCAGTTCGGCCCCACGGAGGAGGAGGAGATCCCCGTGCTGGAGTACCAGATGCAGGTTGGGGTGCTCCGGGTCTCTGCTTCTTTCCATTCTGCGTGCACATGTTCCCCCTTTGGGGAGATGAGATCTGGCTCCCAGAAGTGGGTCAGGCAGAAGTAGGGCCATGGAACAGGGTGGGGCTGTACCCCTGCACACGTGTCCTCCCTTTTCGGGGCACCGAGGACCACCAGACGGGGACCCAGGTCGGGATCCTGTAGGTAAATCAGCCCTGTCCTGGGCAGCGCTGAGCAGCACGGTGAAGCTGATGACTGCTAAGGCATGGTGCAGAGCTGCAGGTGTCCCTGGGACTTTATTTTACTGTGCGGGGAACCCGTGCTAATCGGAGGAAAGAGGGCGGGAAGCATCCTGCTCACAACCACGCAGCCTGCATGGCCTCTCAGCCCAGCTAACCCGGGCCTCTGTGGCCCCAGGCCCCAGGCAGCACAGTGTTATGGCGACTGCAACCAGGCCGCCCTGACTGGCTGTGTGCCTTGGGTGAGGTGCCAGCCGCCCTGTCCTCTGGCCTTCTCCCTGGGCATTGGGCCCAGCTGAAGCCTCTGCCCGAGGGCTGGCAGAGCCTGGATGGGCTGGTGGGACAGGGACGTGGCTGGCACGGTGATGGGCTCCTCCAGCAGTGCTTGTGCCCTGCCCCGTGTCAGGGGTTGGGTGTGCATAGGTGTTGGGCACTCCCTGCACTTCGCGGGCCTCCTAGGTCTGTAGCTGCCTCAGCCTCCCTGCCGGACGTAGGGAGTGATTGCTGCACCTTCACGGCATGGAGGGAGGGGAGACGAAGGACGGCACGGGCCGGGGTGGGGGCCCGGGCTGTGACCTAGCAGTCTGGGTGCGAGGCTCGCGGCTGCCCAGTGGCTGGCTTGTGGTGTGCAGGCAGCCTGACCCCGGGTCCCTGTGTCCTGGGGGGGGCTGGCCTTCTGGAACAGCATCTTCCATGTCTCTTCCAGCAATGGCGCCTGCTTCCGTATCTGGCAGCGGCCTACGCCCTGGACCACTTCTCCAAGTCGCTGTTGCTGGACCTGGAGGGACTGTATCAAGGCCTGCTCAGTGGGGACCACGGGGTCTGGCAGGTGAGACATCCTCGAGGTGGTGCTGAGGTCCCAGCCCAGATCCAGCTGTGATTTCCAAAGGCATCAGTGGGGTAGGGGTGGGCAACTTGGCCTGTGTGACGTGGGCTGAATCCGCGTGCCCGTCTCTCGAGGGAGTGCTGACCAGACACCGCCTTCGTCTGTGAGTTCAGCTCCTCCTCTGAGAATTTGATGGCTTTGCAGAATCCACATCGCCAGCCCGCGGTGGGTTTCGTGGTCCTGATCTTTCCATAAACACAAAGGTCAGCATCCTGCTGACTGCACTAGAGTGGAGCGAGGGTGCAGATGCCCTGAGATCAGCCTCTCGGGACAGAGGAGCCCAGGGCGGATTTCTTTGTCTCTGGTTTACCAGTTGGTTTTCCACAGCCTCCTGGGTTTGCCCCCAGTGGGAGTAAAATGTGAATCCAAACAAAAGGGTCTGAAAGCAGACTAGACAGGCTGCAGCCCGGGGCTACAGATGATGCCCTCAACCGCTCACAGACTCCAGCTGGGAGGCAGGGCCGCCAGTCAGCCGGCGAGATTCACTGTGGGGTGAGCGAGGCTGAAGGCCAGGAAAGAGGGCTACACGTGCTTGCCCCGAGTCCCGGCACCTCTGCCTGTTTAACCCTTTGAAAGGCACAAAGTTCTGTTGACTCTAAAATTCAGCGTTTGACCCAGCCAGGCTTCGGAGGATCCCAAAGTAGCCCGTGACTTGACTGGGAGACACTAAACGGGCCTCTTTATTTAGCAGGCATGAGTTGCTTTCTCTGAATTTTGGCTATCAAGCGGAAGCCAAAGGATGTTTACCAAGCACACATAGGGCAGGAGGGAGTATGGCCCAGCAGGCCTGGGCCCAGTGGATGGTCGGAGTGACCGACACCTCTCACACCTGCACTGAGGCCTCACACCTTGTGCACAGGTGGATCAGTTCCTTCCCTGCTTTTAACTAAAACTGGGCCTCCTCCTGCAGGTGGGGGCGTCTCAGGTTAGACCTGAAGGGGCATAGTCCGTCCGTGCCAGCATCCGGAGCCTCCCTTCACCTGTCCTCCCTGGGTTCCTACCCACAGGCAGAGCTGAGCCGAGAGATTCACGCCCTGGGGGCGGCTGCCAAGCCCCTGGTCTCATGGACGGCGCAGCAAGGAATCCAGGAGTGTCGGGAGGCATGCGGCGGGCATGGCTATCTGGCAGGTAGGAGTGGGAAAGGGCTTGGCAGCTTCCTCCTGTCTCAGCCTCCACATTGACACTAGGCCAGGGTGCAGCAAGCAGCCTGCCGGCCGTCCCAGTCCCTGCCTGTTTCTGTACATGAAGTCTCACTGGAACACAGCCACCCCTGTTCCTGCTCAGACTCGTGGCCTGTGGCTGTTTCTGTGCCACATTGGCAGAGGCCCCACAGCGCCTCAAACCCGATTATTTGCCCCCCGCCCCTAGACAGATCCTGCCTGATGTTAATTGCTCAAAACCCAGGATACAATGCGGCATGGAGAAATGTGTGACTAGCCACAGAAAGCCAGGGCAGGGCTTTCAACTGTGACTTTTTGGTTAATGATTGAGGTCACTAGCACTAAGTTTTATTCTGATAGGAGATTTTTTGTTGTTTTTTTTTGTTTTTTGTTGTTTTGTTGTTGTTTTTGTTTTTGTTTTGGGAGGGGTTGGTACGGGGGATCGAACTTGGATCCTTGCGCTTGTGCAGCAGGTGTCAAAACCACCAAGCTAAATCCCCGGCCCCTGATAGGAGATTTTTTAAAAAGTTTTACTTTATCAGTACACATGTGCAGCGCATAATGTTTCCATTCCCCATGGCAAGTTGGTCCATGTACACAACACATCTGAGTTCCTTTTATCCTTTCCTTTTCCTGCTTCATCCTAGAAAATTCTTCAACTTAGAAGAGTTTCCATGGCATTATGTGTTCTTTAGGCCGCTGGCATGTGACTCAGAAGGTGGGTGGCCAGCAGACACGAGGGCAGAGCCTGGCTCTGTCCTCCTGGCACTGTAGCCGGGTGGTCGCTCAGCCTGGCTGTCCCTGTTCCCTCGTATGTGATGGGGTCAAGTGTCCCCCAGAACACGGGCTCTCGAGGAGGTCAAGTGGATTAATACCCACAGAGCTTGGGCAGAGGAGCTGGCGGCAGCCTGCCCCGTGACTTACCTGCTCCGGTTACGCTAACGTTAGGGTCTTTGCCGTCGCTATCTCTGTCTGCAGCTTAGCTGTACAGCTTCCTGTGTGCAGATCTTTTTGGTAGAAACTGGTTACTCTAAGAAGGCCGCATGCTTGCTCCAGAGACAGCAGGGCTGCAGAGCCCTTGTTGACCTGGGAGAGCATCTTGGCTCATGCTGAGCGGTGGCTGAGCCAGCGAGCGCCTGGCTGGGCGCCCGGGGCCTCTGATCTCACCTGTGCTGCTCCAGCGAAGTGGCATCATGTGGCCTCCGTGCCTGCCACACCCGCACAGAGTTCACTCCTGTGCCTGTCTCCGTTCTCCGTGCAGTGTCAGCAGTCTTTGTTTGTTGCTGTAACTCATAGAAACCCTATAAATAGTGGAGCTGCATTCCGGATTTAAGGAGAAGAAGGAAATTGAATCTTGGGCTGAGTGGAGATTCATTACGCAAACTCTGGGCTGAGACCAATAATGCTGAAGTCACCAGGGGCCATGCGAAGGGCTTCATCTAGCTTCCGAATCTCAGATACAGGTTTTTCTTCTGAGGCCTCGCCCAGCCCTTTCAGCTCCCCCTCGGCCCAAGGATGTCAGCTTCCTGGAAATGCCCTATCTCGGGGTCCCCTGGTAGGGAGGTGCTGCCGCGTGGCCCACGGGCTGGGAGAAGGACCACTGAGTCCACACTGCATCAGCTCTGCCCGCCCAGCGTCCCCCAGCTTCCCGGAGGCCCTGTGTGTGCTAGGTTGGCGGTGCAGACCTCAGCGGAGGCTTCGGGCCACAGCTCGTGGGAGATGGGTGGGAGATGCGGGCTGCAGGAGCTCACTCTCTGGCCCAGTGGGGTGCAGGCAGGGACTGGTGGACTCTCAGGCGAGCGTCTTGCCTGATGCAGTGTCCTGGCTCTGTTGCAGTGAACCGATTGGGCGACCTCAGAAATGACAATGATCCGAACTGCACATATGAGGGCGACAACAATGTGCTGCTGGGGCAGACCAGCAGCTACTTGCTGAGTTTCCTGGAGCGCCAGGTGCAAGGTAGACCCGGTGCAGGCTGGGGTGGGGGCGCTGGGCTCTCCAGCACTGCTGACTGAGTTGGTGTGGGAGATCTGTAAGATGTGCCCTCTGTCTGTGGGAGGGGCGGACGGTCCCAGAGTGACCGAGCCAGTCCCCAGTGCCGGGCAAGGCGGGCCCTGGCCGGTGGGCTCCTTGCCTCTCCCTAGAGTCACCGGTGTGCCTGTCCTAGATGGAGCTCGCTTCCAAAGCCCGCTGCGCACTGTGGACTTCCTGGAGGCCTACCCCGGCATGGTTGGCCAGAGGTTCAAGGGTACCAGTGTGGCCGACTGGCTGGACCCCACAGGTGCGTGGCCTGCCCCAGGGTGGTGCCGAGGGTTTTCCTAGCTTTCTCTTCTTCTCTACCCAGGAAGGCACTGTGCCACAGGGGCGGGCAGGTGGGAGGCCGGTGGTTCCATGGCGGTGGCTGGACACGGGGCATCTCCCTTGACCGATGCTTGGGGCACTCTCCATGCCGGTGCTGGCTTACTCCAACCCCAGGATGACATGAGGGGTGCCCGTCCCTCAACCTGCAGGATGACGTGCGGAGCGGCCCTGCCGTCTGCTCTCTGAGCCCTGTGCCCCAGTGGCGGGAGCCTCTAGGCTGTGCTGTGGACAGCTCTGGCTGCCTGCCTGCCCTGCTTAGACCCTGCATGGCTGCCTCCATCTCCACCCCCGCCCACCCCACACTCCCAGCGGCAGCCTTCGCCCCCACGCCGGCCTGCTTCCTCCCTGGCCCCTGCACAGGTGGTGTGGGTTCACCCTAGTCTTCTCGCTTTCCTTCCTCTGGTGCCACCGGAACATGGGGCCCGCTTGGGCCCACGAGAGCCCCGGTCAGCACAGAGTGGCGCAGCACACTGAAGGCCCAGGCTGCCGCTCTCAGGCCGAGGTTGCACTCTGGGGAGGGTGGTTGCTCTTAGGTCGCTCTTGGGTGAAATCTCCAGTTCCACAGGCAGAGACGCAGAGATGACCGAGCCCAGGTTCTGCAGGGTGGTGGCCTGGGCTGCTGTGTAGACCTCGGCCGGCCATGCAGGGCTCCCTCAGAAAGTGGTCTTGCATCTCCATGAAGGACAGGGCAGCTGCGGGAGGCCGGATGGGATGTGTTTCAGGAGGAGGGGCTGGGTCCGCCCTAGCAGGAGGCAGCTGGTGGGTGGGCCTGTGTTCTGTGCTCGGCGGTGCCTGTTTGCGGAATGCTACTGAGGGTGGAGGAGGCACCTCTGGGTCCTCTGTGGACACAGGTCAAGGTGAGGGAAGCAGCTGGGGCAGGTGTGGGGCACCCAGGTTTGAGTGGGCTGGGCCTCCTGCTCCACACCCCAGGGTGCTCTGTAAATGTCCCTGCTTCAGCTGCCCTGGCCCTGGGAGACCCAGGGATTACACAGGCCCAACGTTTGGATGCGAGCCCCCAGGCTACAAGTCTTAGGATCTGTGTGACGACTCGGAGCTTCCAGGCTGGGAGCCGGGTGCTTCCTCCCAAGGAGTCCTCCTTCTCGTCAAATCCCATGCTGGAAAGACCACTGTTAAGCATCGGTGCAAACTCCGCTGTCTCACCATCACTTAACCAACTAGTATTTAATAGGCATTCTTTTTTTTTTTTTTTTTTTGGTACTGGGGAGCAAACTCGGGTCCTTGCATTTGCGCAGCAGGCAGTGAAACCACTCAGCTAAATCCCCAGCTTAATTGACATTCTTAAAATACCTGTCTGCGAAGCTCATGGAGACCTGTTCTACGGGGCTGGCCTTGGAATCCAACGCAGGGTCCCTGTAGCGTGGCAGAAGCTAACATCCCGGTGAGGCCCCAGGAGATAGAAAAGCAGCCTCTGCAGCAGAGTGTGGTGACTGCTCCCCCAGCTGCCTGTGATGCCCCGCGCTCCACCAGCTGCAGGACTCCAGGCTCCACCCTGGCTCTCCTGGTCTGCAGCATGGGACCTAGTAGGACCGGCCTCACGAGGGCTCTGGAGGTCAGTGCTATGGAGCATGGCAGGGACTTAGCACAGCACTTGCCACCAGTACCTGCTGGGCATCTGCCGATGGCCATTCAGACGTGCAACTGTGCTGTGACTTAGTGTACTGCGGGTGTCACCCAGGGGAGAAGCCACTTCACTCCTGACATACCTGCCTTCCTGGCCCGTCCACCTGTTTAACATTCTGATGGCGAGTAGGGACAGAGAATCCTGCCGGGTGATCCCAAGTCACATCCTGGGCTGCCCAGATGCTGCTGCACAAGGCTCCAGAGTGAGGTGGAATTCATCAATGAGCCGAGGCCCATCAGTGAGCTCATGGCTACCGCAGAGCAGAGCGAAGGCCCACAGCTCCCAGGCTCCGCCCGCCTTGCCCCTGTCACCTGGACTGCAGGAGCAGTGCTTTCCCACTGGCCTTGGGGAATATCATCTCTCTCCTGCTACCTCCCGGCTCTTGTGAGATCCAGCAAAGTGGAAAGGTTTCCGGGGGAAAATCTGCACTGGGTGGAAAGTACCCCAGGGTGACAGGATGCTGCAGAGGACTGGTGGCCTGGCCAGGCCCTCGGTCCCCATCTCCTCAGGCTGTGGTCACCAAGTCAAAGGTCCAGGGCTGACTCATGGGCCTCCGGTCCCCAGGGGAAGATTCTGTGAGCTCTGCAGGACTGAGGGGCGCAGGCCTGTCCTGGGTTCTGCAGCCATGTGCGGGGTGGAGACTCAGAGCCAGGAGGCGGGCAGGAGAGGCCGGCGCCACTTCTGTATGTTCCTCTGACTTGTGCAAGAAGCGTGTGTGAGATACATGTGATGAACAGGCTTCTGCACTGGCGTGTGTCCCACTAGGTCAAGATCCTCCCCTCAGCTGGCTCATTCACATGAATACCAAGCAATTGCCGTGTTTACTGCTCAGACAAATGTGTGTATGGATGGGCATCAAGGCCACGGGGGTCACGTGGCCAGGCAGCAAGGTCACACAGCGCAGGTAGTGGGGTCAGGGCCAAGGGGTGCAGGGTGGTGGGGCTCGCTCTGTGGTGAAGCCTGTGGAGAGCTCCACGAGGGTCTCAGGGACAAGCTGTGGAGGGAGTCAGGGCTTCCCGAGCCGATGACACCCGGACTGGAAGACGGGGGAGGCAGCAGTCGCAGAGACCCGAGCGGGTGTGCAGCCCGGTGCCCCGTGTCTGGGCTGGCTGGGTGCCAAAACCTGCAGACTTGGACCCTCGCCCCAGGGAAGCAGGAGTCCAAAGTCCAGGTGTGGTCAGGGCCACGCACCTGCCCTGCCGCCTCCACGCTGGGGCTCCGGGTGGGCCTGGCCGGTGGCCGTATGGCTCGGGCTGCCTCTGTTGTCACATGGCCACCTCCGTGTCTTCTCTTTCTGTCCCTTGTAAGGTGCTTGTTGGATTTGTCCACCCCCCAGTCCATGCTGACCTCATTCACGTCCTTGACTTCCTCACACCTACAAGGCCCCTGTATTTAACGAGGCCACAGACACAGGTTCTGGGGTCAGATCCGAGAAGCCCCAGCTCTGCAGGGAGTGCCCTGCACCCAGTGGGACCCTCATCCCAGCCCCATGCCCCCCGTGCTTGCTACCAGGATCTGCTGTGCCTGGAGGTCACAGAAACCAGTGCTCCACCCCGGCTGTCCCTCCTGGTGGCTGTGACCGAGCCCAAGCTGCTTGACATCTCTGAGCCTGTGCAATAATAGTCTTGTTTGGTTGGTAACGGGGGCCTCAGCCGTACCTGAGGGGTTACTGACCTCACAGCTGAGAAACAGCTGGGAGCCCTCTCCCAGGCCCCGGGCTGTGTGACACTGCTCCGCTTCTGCCTTCCTAGGAGCCCCAAGCCAAGAGCAGCTGCCAGGCTGAGGGGCCCCCTGCCCGCCACAGCCTGGAGGCACCCAGGTCTGGGCACCAGGCCCCCATGCCTGAGGAGGGCGTGGGTGCTGGTGTGGACCGGGCCACGTGGCCTGCCCACACCCCCAGCTCCAGAGTTAGGGAGCGGCTGGCCCTGCGTGCTGTGACCCATGTCTTCTCGGTGCTGGGGCAGCGTGGGACTCTAGGTGGCCTCCAGGCATGGGCAGAAATGCCCTCCGTGTTCCCGCTCCTGCCCGGCCACTGCCTGGCAATGTGCCTCTGTTTCTCAGCCTCCCCATACCCTCCCGCTGTGCCTTCTGTCCCGGGTAAGTGCAGATGGGTGTCAGATGCCCTGTGCTGACAACTGTCCTCCCTCTGTCCCATGCAGCCCCACTGGCAGCGTACGAGTGGCTGGTTTGCTACCTGCTCCAAAGGAGTCACCAGAAAGTCATGCAGGAGAAAAGATCAGGACACAGCAGCTTTGAAGCAAAGAACAACAGCCAGGTATGTGTCTGTTTTTACAATTGCTATTTGCTGTGCTCTGCATTCCTCCAGTGTTACATCCCCGGGAGTCTGACATCAGTGGCTGGCTTCCAGCTTCCTGCTCAGCTTCATTGTTGGACATCAGGGCCCAGTTTGGTCCTCTGAAGCAAGCACTGGTCCCTGCCTGGCCGGCAGGGTGTGGAGGAACCATGGAAGGCCTGCAGCCCGGAGCTGGGGTGCAGGCCTGTGAGAGCCTGAGGTCCTGTCCACAGTGGGATGGTGACCCATGTGGGCCACAGGCTCCTCTGGACAGTCAAGGGCTCACCGAGTTCACCCCACATTCAGTGCTCAGCTCCAAAAAGTCACCTCCTTGTCAGGGATGCAGGTGGGCTGGGGTGGCTGTGACTGATAGAAAGTTTGTGGTCTGCATGCTGCACAGAGCTGTCTCGGGTCCCAAGAACCCACCTGCTGTGCCCGCCTCATCACACTGTGCGCTGGACCCCATCATGCCCTGGGGTCCATGGTGAGAGGCAGCCTGGATGAGGAAGCAGGGACTTGCAGGGCAGCTGTGGTCCCCACCCATGGTGTCAGGAAACGGGTCCCGCACCACACTTCGTAGTGAAGCTGTCCCTGGCGACCCAGGTCCATATCCCCTGTGTCCTGCGAGGGCCCAGGACCCTGCCCGGGTAAGGAGACAAAGGTGGTCAGACTGGCTGTGGTTTCAAGGCCTCCTGCCGGGGCCACGTACACCAAAATCAAATGTATGACCTTGAAAAAAATAGATTCAGCAATCGGCGAGGGTCAGTGAACTTTTGGTCCAGAGCCACGGTAGCCTAGAATAGGAGGCCTAAGCTGACTCCTATGGGATGGGCCATTCTCTGCAACCACTGGAGCTGAAGCCTGGCAGGTGTGGTTATTGGCTTCCTCTGCTAGTCACACCATCACGCTGAAATGGGGATAGCGGACAACCTGCCCGAGTTACCGAGATCCTGAGGGCATGGAGGGCAGACAGGTGCATGTCCCCAGCACTGCCCAGGTCCTCAGAGCTGCCTGCACGGCCCGTGTAGACCCACCCTGTGCTGTCCCTCGGCAGCCCCCGGCCCCAGTTGGTGTCCCTGTGACCTCACAACACAGCAGCGCGTGGCCAGTGGTTGAGCAGTTGTCACCGTGGGTCTGCAGTAAGAACTCTGTAGCAGTATTTCAGTGAGTCCAGTTGCAGAGGACAAGGGGGCTGGCTGGGCTCTGAGTACAGCTGCCATGGGGTTCCTGGGGACAGCGGGCAACAACCACACGGGGACAGAGCCACAGCCCAGCGGCAGCGGGAGCTCCGGGAGGAGGGAAGGACTGCGCTGCAGACTGAGGCTGGGTCATTGCTGACAGCCGAGAGCTTGCAGAGCACTGGGCAGGACTCTGGGGTCACAGGAGACAGGATCAGGCCCAGAAGGTGGTGGGAACAGCAGTGCAGCAGGGGAAGCGAGCCTCAGAGCATGTTTATGCAGTCTCAGTGTGGGATGAGCCTTAAAGCAGGAAAGTCAGGAGCTACCAAAGGAGAGAAAGCCGTCAGGTTTCACTGTACGGAAGTTCAGCATTTCTGAAGAGCAGTGATGCTGTCCACAAAGTGAGGCTTCCCCCGGCCAGGGAAGCACGTGGCCTGGCATAGACTATCCTTCTGGGAAAGCACATGCCAAAATCAGGACCAGCCTGGCCCAGGGCAGGAACCACGGGCCAGGGATGAGCAGGCTGAGCCCCAGGGCACCAGGCTGGTATTGGGGCTCCTGGCGGGGAGGCTGGGCTTATTGACCAACATGGAGGGGAAAGGCCAGGATGGGCCCCCCGACTTGGCTCAGGGTGTTCTCGTGCCAGGCTCATGGCTGCAGAGTGACAGCTGACCCTTAGCTGTGTCACAGCTGGGGCTGGGGATCCTGGCATGAAGTGACTTGGGGGACGGCTCTGGAGTGGCCCAGCCCCACTGTCCTGTCCGTGACCGGTGCAGCTTTGGGGCCAGCAGGGGCACCCAGACCAGTGCCCCTCAGCCTGAGGGTACAGCAGTGATCGGGAAGATCTCATGGAGCAGTTGGCACAGTGCGCCACACTTCCTGCTCTGCCCATCCGGTCTGCCCAGGTGTCTGTTCCGGAGTCTGTCCCACCCCCGAGGACAGGGAGCCCTGTGCATGCCGAACCCCGGGAGTGAGACACGGAGCAGGACAGCCAGGGGGAGGCACACCTGCGGGAGGACAGGTCATCGTGTCCCACGCTGCCGCTGCAGACGCTCCAGTGCAGGGACACGGGGCCCGGCCCAGGCGCACATCTCTCCGAGTGAACTCTGCAGCCTGGCTCTGCCACCCCCAGCGGCCACCCCCAGCCACCGTGTCCACGCCCGGACCCCTGGCTTAGGGCAGGTCTCAGGGCAGTGGGTCACCAGAAGTGTCATCTTCCTGGGAAGACGAGATAAAACAGTAGCACTTGGATGCTGGGAAGTCGTGTGGCTGAAGGGCGAGGGGCAGTGCTAACAAGCACGGTCCATTTCTGAGCCTGGCCGTGCTGGGCTCGCCCTCACCTCTGACCCCACAGGGGACCCTTGGAGGACTGGGGCTCACAGCGCATGAGCCACCTGGGTGTGGGTGGGACTCACAGAGTTCCCTGCACTCGTGGAGGCCGGAGCCAGCTTGCCTGGGCTTCGTATTCTGCCCCCTTGCTTCATCCGCTAGGCAGAGGGAGACAGATGTGCCTGGCCCTGGAGGCCCCGCCCAGCCTGATTGCTGCAGCTGCATCGCCGGCCAGGCACTTGGACACCTGGGCCCTGGCCCGCCCTGCCCTCAGCGCAGCCCTGGAGATCCAGGCACAGGTCCTAGCTGGGTCTGCGACGCAGTCCCCACCTCCCGGCCCCGCCCCTGACAAATGGGGCCATGGAGATGGGGGCCAGCACGTGAGCCCTCTGACACCTCCGGGTGGCCCACTCTGTGCTGTGTGTGGCCCTAGGCTGGCGCAAGGCAGGGGCAGAAAGCATCTTCTCCCCACTTGTGCTCTCCGAGGGGCCCCAGGAGAATGTCAGCCTTGAATTCAAGACCCTGCACTTAGGCGGTGGAGATGCAGAAAGGAAAACAAACTGTGGGAAGAGCTGGGACAGAGATCTCCATCTTCCACTTAGCCGGGGCTGCAGTCACGCTGTGGCCCCATCCGGCTGCTGTCTCGGGAGAAGCTGCCCCTAGGAGCTGTGGAAGAGGCAGTGGCCGTGCCCAAAAGGAGCAGAAGCCGCTGCCTGCCCGGGTCACGGAACTGTCAGTGTGTCCCTGTCCTCCAGGGTCCTCCCTGCTGCAGGAAGCAACAGGCCCTGTGCCCAGTGACCACCTGTGCCCTGGGGCCTACTGATGTCTGCCCTTTCCTTGGTGCCAGTGGCCATCCAGAGCTCACTTGGGCCCCTGCATCGTGGCTGCTGTGCCACGTGGCTTCCACAGGGACCGAGGCAGGATGCATGGTGTGGTGCGTGCAGTGCTGGCCTCCCCGGGCTCCGCCTCAGCCAGCACCTTCTGCCGTCTGTCAGATGTCCCCATGCTGTGCTGTGTCCCCACGCGGCCCCACCTCACGGTGCTGTCCTCTGGCCATGCTCTGCCCTGCAGGTCTACCACATGCGGACCCTGGCCCTGGCCTTCGTGGAGCTGACGGCGGCGCAGCGGTTCCACACGCGCACGCACGGCCCTGATACGCCTCCCGCACTGCGGGCCGTGCTCGGCCGGCTCAGCACGCTCTACGCCCTGTGGTCCCTGAGCCGGCACCTGGCTCTGCTCTACCAAGGTAAGGCTGCCACCCTGCCCCACGGCCCGCAGGTGTGCCCATGTGGCACCCGTCCTGGCAGCTCAGTGGAGAGGAGGGCTGGAGCAGTAGACAGGACAGCAGATGGGGCAGTATGGGGACGCACCGGGGAGACGCAGTGTCCCTGCATGCAGGGTGCCCACAAAGTCAGTCCCCCTGGGACGGAGGCCTCTGCTGGCAGCGGGCGGGACCCGGGGAGCCAGGCACAGGCAGACATGCACCAGGTTGCCAGGGCGTGCGCCAGAGTTCAGGAATACTGGGGCCACCTCCTCGGCAGTGCTGCATGGGGAGCCCCAAGGGTGCTGGACAGAGGGGACCCAGCAAGGCAGGGGCAGCTTACTGTCAAAGTTCAGCCAACCGGGCACTGTTCCCGTCACAAAAAGTCATCACCAAAGTCATTTCCACCACGAATGCATTCCCAGCACCCAGGCCACTGCCCCAGCCTGGTGGGACCCATGGGACACCGTGGGGCAGAGTCACAGAAAGGATATCTCCCAGCCTGGGCCCTGGTGGCCTTGGAGGCCTACATACCTACATGCCACATGCTGACCCCTGCAGTGGGACCAGGTCCCCAGTGCTCCCTTGAACTTCCTACCAGTACACGGCCCTTCATCCCTCCTCCAGCAGGAACCAGCCCTGGCAGACCCCACCTCCCCCAGCCCTCGGGACTTGGTCCTCTCCTGTCAGACCTGGGCCAGGTTCTGTGCCCCCAGCCCCTGGCCTATGACCTGCCCTTACACATACATACCTGGAGAACCCAGTGGGACAAGGACCTCAGAACCAGCCTGAGCCAGGAAGCTCTGCCCCAGGGTCCCAGCAGGGCTGGGGCAGGTGGCAGTGGCCCTTGACATCTCCACCCCGTCCAGACTTCTTCAGGCTAACCGAGGATGCGGCGTGAGGGGCGCTTTAGACGGCGCAGGCCAGACCTGGTATGACAGAGCTGTGTTTGCAGGGGGCTACCTCTCTGGCGAGCAGGCAGGTGAAGCACTGGAGGGCGCCATCCTGGATCTGTGTGCCCAGGTGAGTGCCCACCACCCCTCCTGCGCCCGCGTGGCTGCCACTCAATACTAACTCACCCCCAGGAGGGAGTTTTCCATTGCTGTCACAGAATCCCTGGGAAAATCAACCTGCAGGAGCACAAGGTGCCTGTGGCTCGCGGGTTCAGAGGTTTCAGTCCATGGTCAGCTGGCCCCATTGCTTCTGGGCCTGGAATGAGGCCCAACATGGTGGGAAGGTGTGGCGGAGCAAGGCTGCTCACTGCTTGGTGGCCAGACAGAAGGAGGAACGGGAGGACAAGGCAGAGTCCCCAAGGGTGCCCCAAAGACACACTGCTCCCTTTAACTAGGCCCATACTACTGCTTCCACCCGTCACCAGCCATTAGACTGACGAACCTGTTAGCGGCTGAGCCCATCCATGGGGTCGGACCCCTCACAGTCCCTTCCCAGGACCACTTCTAAGCTCTGCTGCCCTGGGGCCCATACGTGACACAGCTCTGGGGTCACACCAGACCCTGACACACCCGGTGCGCTGGCATCCTCTGTCCACACTGTATTTGGTCATCCAAGGACGGCCGCATGCCCGGGTCACGTGCTCCATCATCGCAGTGGCCTTGATGTCCATCTGCATCACAGATGCCCTGTCCCACGCCAGCGTCCTCACAGGAGTGAGCACCACCGCCCCTGAGGGGCCTCATGCTGCGCTGGTGCTTGCTGGGCCACGAACGCTTTCTCCGTCCTGTGCCCCGGACACAGGCGCCAGTCGGGCAGCACTGACTTAACTGGCTGTACATGTCCCTCGTGCCAGCACCCCTACCTTGCTGGAAAATCAGCTCAGAAGTCTGGAGGGGGACAGCATGGTGGGGATGCACGCACGCCCAGGGACTGACCCAGGCCAGGCAGAGATGTCGCCTGAGTCCCCAGCTCCCTGTGCTGGCTCGGTTTCCACTGTGTTACTCAGTGGTCTCCATGGAAACCGCAGCCATGGCCAAGTCTGTGGACTTTGTATTCCAACAGCTGAAAGATGACGCAGTGGCCCTGGTGGACGTCATCGCCCCTCCCGACTTTGTTCTGAACTCCCCGATTGGCAGGGCCGATGGCGAGGTAAGGGCCACCCCACCGGAGCTCCCAGGGCGGTGACATGGTCAGGATGCTGTCCCTCTTGGGGCACTTCTGGGGAGGCAGGGAGATGCTGGGGACCTCACCTGCACCTGGACCAGCTCCGAGGTCGCAGGCCCCTGTCCCCAGTGTTCCCTCGGATCCTTGCGGGCAGGCGTGGGTTGGCACCTGCTCCCATGGACACCCTGTGCCACAGCCCATCACCCTCCTCATCCTGGCCAGCAGGTCCCTGCTGCTCAGGGCCTCACCCCGACCTTGAATCCCCCGCTGCCTGTCCCCTTGACCCCGCCCACCCGTGCACCCCATGGCCCCCATGCGGCTCCCTGATCTCTCGCCCTCAAGTTCCAGAATGGTTGTTTGTTTTTTTTGTTTTGTTTTGTTTTGTTTGGTACCAGGGATCAAACTCGGGTCCTTGCGCTTGCAAGGCAAGTGACGGAAGCACTGAGCTAAATCCCCGGCCCTGGAATGGTTTCTTAAGGAGCAGGTGGGGTCAGGCTGCTCCGAATGGAGCCCTCCAACAGCACCCTGCACCCCACATAGAGCCAGCTCTCCTGGGTGCACCCACCCTCCACCTGAGCCCTGTGGGTTCTCCAGCTCCATTTCACACAGGTCTCCCATCCCCCCAGCCTCTAGCCACACCCCCCATTCTCTTCATCCCCTGGGCTTGTTCTCACCCCAGGGCCTTTGCACCTGCTCCCCTGCTTCCCACCGTACTGCCTCCATGCAGAAGTCCCTGAGGCTGCTCCAGACGCACCCCCTGTTCTGTCCCATGAGCCTCGAAGCTCTCATTGCTGAGCCAGACTGTCTCCCTGCATGATCCCCTTCAGTGATGATGCCCACACAGCACCCTCACAGGCTGCCAGGTGCCACCCGGCACCCACAGGGTCCCTCTGACTGTTGGACGTGACGTGTCCGTGTGTCCAGGTCACACACTGAGGTCTTGCTTGCAGCTGTGCGCCATGGACAGGATTCAGCTCTACCCCCGCCATGTGTCTCTTCCGAGGCCCTGCCCCCATTGCAGGCTGCCAAAGTGGAGGCTGCACATACGTGACAGGCCGGTCCCCACCCTCAGGGGACACCAGAAGTGGCACCTCCAAGCCCACACAGGCTGTCCGGTGGCCGGTGCTCTGGGCTGAGCAGTTTGGTGCAACTGAGCGGGGGAGGCCTGGGTGGGGTCTGATCTGACGGAGAGGCGGCACCCAGAGCAGGGACCGGGGTCCCCTGACAGCTTCCTACTGAGAGAGAGTTTGTATAAATTGAACTTAAATCATCTGAACGTTTTCCTAACAAGTGACAGCAGGGAATTTCCTGTCTAACTGAACTGCTGACAGGTGGCACAGGCACATCCGCCGGGAGGGCTGCTCCAGACTCCCCCTCACCCCGCTGCGTGTTGTTTTCCGCAGCTCTACAAGAACCTGTGGAGCGCCGTGCTGCAGGGGAGCGGTGTGCTGGAGCGGCCGACCTGGTGGCAGGAGTTCTGCGTGCACCGGCCCGTGGGGGCCGGCCTGAAGTCCAAGCTGTAGGTGCCCGGGACACCAAGTCGCCCGGCCACACCACGGCCACGCTGGGCAGGTGGCACCAGACGTGCAGGGTCAGGCTGGGTCTCAATGGTTTGCTGTCGGGGCTGGGAGCTCGCGTGAGCTCCCCTTCCTGGTAAATGCGGGGCTTTGGTGACTGGGATCTTCTCAGGCACAGATTCCAAGTGTGAAGTAAACTGCTCATGGTCACGGGTTTTCTGGCCAGATGATCTTTTAAATTCATCTGGGATTTTTTTACACAGCTCCACTTCGCTGAGAAATGAAGTGTGGTGCTCTGATTCGCTGTTGACTCTAGTGACTTTGTCACACATAATCAGCTCTGTCAGGACCTGGCTAGTATGTCATCTGAATGACATAGTTTAAGACTTTGTAAGGGAAAAGATTCTATTACTTTTTTTTGTGGAATGAGAAGTTTCCACTGAGAAATGATTCCAAAGCAGAAATGATCTGAGCGTCTGGGCAGTTCAGCTGCTAGTGTCCCTGTGTGCAAATCGCTCCGTGTGCGATGTGTTAGTCCATTTGTCCCTAGGGCAGGTGGCACATGTGGCCCCTTGTCCTGGGCGTGCCTCAGCAAATCCACATGCCCAGCCTGCCCTGTGGTGCCAACCATGTGTAAATGGACTCCTCGTGCCTCTGAAGGGATTGTGGTTCACTAGCTCATCCTCTTCCTTTTCTTCTTTTTCGGTACTGGGGATCAAACTCAGGACCTTGCGCTTGCAAGGCAGGCACAGTGCCACTGAGCTAAATCCCCAGCCCAAGTCCATCTCTTCCTGCTATCCGAGAGAACGGGAATGAAAGTTCCAGACTCTCACCTTGCGATGGGTTGGTGCAGACCACAGGGTGAGCTGCAGGGGCCAGCAGATGCCCGAGGGGCTGCTCCTCCAGCCGAGCCTCGAATCAGGGCCCAGGCCCTGGGGTCAGCCACCTGCCCGGGGCTACCATCCCTCATCCCAGAGGAGGGCCTGGCTCGCTGTCCTGGCAGAGCTGGGTGAGGGCACCCAGGGCAGCCCGTAGGAGCCACCTGTGACTTCCAAGCTGAGACACCCTACATCCAGCCCTGCCCAGAGGCCACCTGTCTGCCCCACCCCATCCCCGTTCCAGGTGGGCTGGAGCAGGCTGAGACGCTGAGGTGACCTTAGAGAAATTCCATTCTAAGTAAAGGTCATTTAAAAAATAAAGCGCTGAAAGTTTAATCTCTGCTTTCTGCCACTCTTTCTCTGCTTGTAGTGCTCGTGTTCACACACTATTTTGACAACACAGAAAAGGTCATAGAAGAAAACAAATGGCACTGACAGCCGCACACTTGGAAGTAACACCTGGTTACATTTCATTCATTTATTCTGAGCCATGGGGCCACAGAATTGGGGTCACTGTGACCCTTAGCTCCTGCCGGGTTCCCTCCGTCCAACACTGAGGCCCAAGCGGGGACAGTGACCTGTGCTGCCACCTTGCCCATCACCGGCCCCTCGTGGCATCCACTGTCCAGCAGGTAGCGTGCAAGCTCACTCTGTTCCCACGTGCAGCTTCTCCAGCGGAAGGAAGCGGGGTTGCACGCTTTGTGGGCATCTCTTCCCATCCTGAAGGCTGCTCAGCCACACTCCCCTCACACGACACATACTCTGAGCAAGAGGGACTTCCGGTACTACCTGCCACCACGGTGGGACACACAGGCATGAGAGACAGGACAGGTGCTGGGCAGACCGTGCCGTGCCATTGTCCCTGAAGTAGGATGAGTATAGACTCTGCCTCCCTGTGCTGTGAGCATTAGCGTGGTTAATTCACCAAAGTTCGTAAATCGGGGTCTGCCGTGCAGGTGTCTAGGAGAGTCTCCTTATTACAGCTGCTGCTCAGGAAGGCAGGCGCAGGTCTCTGGCCATGGCAGCCTTTCCACGGCTTCAACCTGCTGCCACCCTCACGTGTAGACGCTTTCCTCCGCTCCCTCCCAAGCCTGAGCCCCTCTTGCCTTAAGTGTGCACTCTGCAAAAATGCCACATTTAGTCTTTAAAAGTCATAACATGTTTTTACAGATTAGGAATAGTAAACCTTCACCAAAGGCGGTGAATCCCTGTAATCCCAGCTCTCGGTAGGTTAAGGCAGGAGGATCACTGCAAGTTTGAGACCAGCCTGGGCTACATAGTGAGCTATATAGTGAGCTCAAGGCCGGCCTGGACTGCACAAAAAGGAGTAGTAAACCTTGGACATATCCTTTGTAAATTATTTTTCTGCATTTGTCATTTGCCTTCTAATTGTGTTCATTTTTTCGTTTTGATTTAACATAGCAAAGCTTAAAGCTTTTTTTTTTCCGGTACTGGGGATCGAACTTGAGATCTTGTGCTTGCGAGGCAGGCAGCGGAACCACTGAGCTAAATCCCTGGCCCAAAACTTAAAGCTTTTAAATCAGAAATCTGTATGTGAAGACTAAGAATCATATCTGCTCCAGCCTTTGAGGTCATGCTTGGAAATTCTTCTCTGACACTAAGATCATTTCCATTTTCACCTGCTTTTCTTAAGTACATTTCGGCATCAGTGGGCCAGAGGATTTATGCTGTGAGGTTGGGATCTCAACTGGTCAGAACTTCGAGTAATGCACCAGCCTGAAGTCCCACCAGTGCTGAATGCCACAGTCAGGTGCGTCCTGGCTGTATTTCTGCTCTTTTCTGTCGTGTCATCTCATATCCTGTCCTGTGGTTTCATTACTGCAGTCTGTATACTTCTAATATCTGCAAATAAAGGCCTCGACTCCCATCTCTTTCAAAAATTTCTTAGCTGTGCAAACTGTGACATTATTTTGTTAAGGCAAGGCATTCTCCCACTTCCAAATCATGAAAAATTCTTTGGAATCTGTTTGGACATCTTCTCTCACTTACAGATGAAGACCAGCAGAGTCTATATCTTTGTAATAAGTTGTCTTTCCATTTAAGACTATTCAAGTTATTTTAATAAAAAGCTCTCTGGTTTTGCATACTTACTCTGTTGGTTATTTTATTAAAACCTTATTTAATCACTGTAGTCTTCTGTTGGTTCACTCTGGTTTTCCTTCTGTGTCGTTGGCAGATGGTGATGGTTCTGTTGTGTCGTTTGCACACATTTTGTCTGTCGCTCAGTTTTCTGTGCAGTGGCACCTGCTGGGCCTGCGGATTGTTCCTCTGTGGTTGTGGAGGATCTGCTGAGGGGACCCCTCCCCAGCAGGGGTGCAGGGCTGTGCTCATGGCTGTGCGGTGGCTGTAGATTTCTGTGCCCCCAAGAGGGAGAAGCCCGCGGAACGAGCAGCTTCTCACCCAGGCATCCATGAGGATGGCACCTGAACCTGTGGATGCAAAACACGGAGCTTCCGAGGAAGAAGGAGGAAAACCTAGTTCTACTGCACTCATCTGCGGCCCCTGCAGAGGGCCCGGCTAGGTAGAGGGCTCGGCTAGGTAGAGGGCTCCCCACTGTGCACAGAGTGGGGTTAGTCAACTTGGGGACTCCTGCTGCTCGGTGACCCCAGGGCAGCCTCTGGTCGGCTTGAGCTACTCGGCAGGCAGCCGCTGCTGGCCCTGGCCTGGCCCCCGGCTCGGGACACTCCCACCTTTCCCACGGGGTGGCACAGACTGACCCCAGCCAGTTTCCCCTCCGCCTGCCTGGGTCAGCCACAGATTCAGGGGAATGCTGCGGAGCTCAGCGGGATGGAGCTGAGTGCCCCTATACCCATGGCTGAGACCCTGCTCCTTCCCTGTCCGCATGAAGCCCTCGGCCTTCCCTTTGGTTCACGACCCCCATTCGAAAGAGGCAGCGTGGCAGAAACTATTTTGCAAGAGAAAATGTGGATAATCTTACAAGGGCTGAGTGCTTGGGGCAGGAAAATGAAACCCGAGATCAGGGCTCACGAAATCCTCCTGGGTGTTTGTTCTACAGGATGTTAACGTGGCTTATGAAATCCTGGACATCTCCTCAATGTTTTATCTTTGCTCCAGAGCTAGGCTTAGAAAACAAAACAAAGTAAACTTGTGAGAACGTTTTCCCTGCGCCATCACCCCAAACAGCCCTGGTCCAGTGTCTTTTCCACTGTGCCCTATGGCATGTGGCCGTGCGTGTATGGAGCGGGCAGGGGCCAGCCCTGGGCCCGGGCTCGAATCCCAGCCTGGCCGCTGTCTGCGGCACTTCGCACCCTTCTGGGCTTCCTCTATGCTTCCCGCCTTATGGAAGTTATCAGCTGCCAGCATCCCAGGGTCCTGAGGACTCCCAGACAATACGTGTGAAATCCCTAACACCCCCGGGCACAGGCCTCCCCTGACCACTGAGCTGGACCACTGGCCCTGGAATTCCCCCTTCTGCACCCTGGGGCAGTTCTGGCGTGGCTCTCAGGACACTGTACATGTGCGGCCCAACTCTGGGCAGGAAGGCAGTGGGGCGGGACTGTCCTGTGGCACCGGGGAGATGCCGATTCAGAGAGGACACCCCCCTCCCCCACTGCCCAGTGTGGCTGTACTGTTGCCCACATGCGTCCAGGGCCAGCTTCTTCCTTTGACCTCCACTGTGCCATCTCTGCAGTAACCCCTTCCAGGACCCAGGGAGGTCCCAGGGTAGCGCCACAGGGGTCGGGCTGAGCCGTCTTTGTCTCCCTGTGAGCTTCCTTACACACCCGCCATCCGGTTTGGTGCCACTGCCACCACTTTCCAAACCACAGACGAGCTGCTGCCACCTGCACCTGCTTGCCCAAGCCCCTCTGTGCCTTGATGACTCTTCCCCACCACCTTGCCCAGCAGCTCGGAGATGCAGGTGTCTGGTGGCATCAGAGCCATGGTGGCCATCACACTACCTACCCAGCTGTGAGGTCTGAACCATTGCTCTCCCGCACCCAGTGCAGGGCCACACGCGGTGCCCGGTCAGCCCTGCAGAGATGGCTGGGGCACAGGGAGGGGATGAGGGAGGAGCTGGCCAGCGAATGAATAAAGGAAGAAGAATGAAGTAACAAGGTGATGAAGCAGTGATCTGGGAGCTGACTAGCAGGGAACGATATTGTGTCGTTTAAACTCTTTAAAACCAGCACAAGAGGGGAAAAAGCAAAAGCCACGGCTCCTTTCCGGACTTATTATGCAGCAGATGTTGCCTGCAGAGGTTCTCACTGGGCGGGGCATCATGGGGGTATTTCACAAGCAGGCACTTCTGTTCCCATGCAGAGCGCCGTGGGCAGTGATGGGGTGCTCAGAGGACCAGCTCTGCTTGCTTCCCGCTCCATCCCGGCCTTTGGGATGCAGCTTCCTCTCCCCGCACAAGTGAGGCCAGCGTGGAAGGCTGACCCCAGGCAGGGACGCCCTTGCCTCTGCCCAAGGAGGGGAGCTGGCAAGAGGCCCTTCCTCTGCTTCACAGTGCCATGGAGGCTGACCTGTCCTGTCCTCCCCAGGGCAATGGCCACACGGGTATCAGGGGCTGTGCTGTGATTCCCCAAATCCCTGCATTGAAGCCTTGGCCCTCGGTCCTAGGCATGTGGCCATTCGTGGGGACAGGGCCACCACTGCCCAAAGGCCTAAGGCTCAGAGCACAGGGAAGGTGTGGGAGGCCAGAGAAGTCATACTGTGTGGGAACGTTGGACAGCACAGAGACCCAAGCGATGCTGAGGTGGGAGGCAGATGCCGGACCTGGGGTCCAGGTGGAGCCCAGCATGGACAGCACCCAGGGTGCAGAGGGAGCCCCAGTGCCTCTGCCCAGATGCATCCACACCAGCAGGGCCGGTGGGGCTCCCCTGCCTGGAAAATCAAGTGGAGGCACAAGGACCCAGAACCCAAGCTGGAGGAGACAGGCACTTGCAATCTGGGTGGAGCGCTACAGGAAGCTCTTGTTTCTAGAAGGCCCCATTCTCTCCTGTCCCTTCTGGGGACCCCAAGCCACGATTCTGAGCTCAGCTGAGGTCCTCGGAGACGCCAGGAAGCAGGAGCCACACCACCGGGTGACTTCTGGGATACTTGGGGTGTGGGGCTAGAAGATTCACGCTAGGGGCTGAGCTGTGAAGCAGAGCACAAGGAGAACTCGGGCATCCACGCCTCAGGCCCCAGAGGCCCCTGAGCCTTGTTTGTAGATCAGACCTGGCTGGGCTGCCCCAGAGCGCTCACAGTTTCCGTGGCTGAGAGAGCCAGAGACCAAGCCTAAGGCTAAGCCCAACCTGGCCCTGACCTCCCCTCCCCACTCCTGGCCTCCCTAAGCCTCTCTAATCACAGGAAGGCCCGCAGTGGGGCGGTGGAGGCCTGGGGCGCAGCTGCCTCTCCCCAGCTTCTCCATCTGCAGCTGTGGCAGTGATGATGACAGCTCTGGACGAGGCACCGCCCCAGTCCCAGGTGTCCTGCGGCCGGCCAGCAAGGGCCAGCAAGGGCCAGCAAGGGCCAGCAGCCGAGACAGCATTGCGCCACAGTGGTGACACCAGCCTGGCGGGGACAAGAGAGCCCATTGTGGGCAGTGGGATGCAGGCAGCCTCCCGCCAGCTGCTGGCACGGGGCACATCTGGGCTGTGCTCACCACAGTCCTCCGGGTGCCAGGCTGCAGGAGTGCTCAGCTGGGGACAATTCTTTCCCTGCTGCTTCAGGACTGGTGTTTTCAGCAACACCAGAGCGGCCTGCTTCCCTCAAGTGACCCGGGCTCAGGAAGATGGGAAGACAAGGGGGCCAGGCAGAGAGGGCTCCTGCCCCTGCCCCACCCTCACTCCCCCACCCACCCCTCTAGATGTCCCTGTGCCCACAATGCCCAGCCCCTCCACCCCACCCCATTTCCCTCTCAGGCTCCCCTCCATGAAGAAGCATGCGCAAACCCATTCAGCTCTAACCATTCCAAACGTGAGCTGCTCATGCAGCAGAGCACAGGTCCTCTTGGCCCCTGCCAGTCAACCTTTGCTCCGGGGCCACTCTTGGTAGAGCCTTGCTTTGCCTGCCTGGCCTTCCGTGCACAGAAGCTTGGTGTGTGGTGGGTGTGTCTGTCGGGAGCATTGCTACCTAATTTTAGGGTAAAATCATTTGGTTAGCCTAGTTCTCCTGCCTACAGCCCAGCCATGGAATTCCGACATAATTCCATTTTGGTCCCCAGTCACAACTGAGACCTCAGTGATCCGGTGATGCTGTGATCTCCAGGACAAGAAACACCCTGGGAGCTGAAAACATCCTGGGAGGAACAAACATCTACTCAGTTCCTCATTGTTCTTGGACTGTTACATCTTGTTCAAGCAGGATGTACTGAACTCTCTGCAAGTCATGTTACATTTGTTTCTCCCAATGTGGTAAACTGGGGGCTTTTGTGTCTGCCCCCCAGAGCAGCACTGATCAGACCCAAAGCTGAGCTTCTTCTCAGGCTCATTTTTCCACCTTTCCTGTAATTCGCCTTGTGCTGCTGTGGCTTGCAGGAGACTAGAACTTACTGCAGAGGTTCTAATAAGGTCCCCTTTCCCTGTTCCCTACATGTGTCCCTGCTCTTGGCTCCACGCTGTGGTCTTGTGCACCGTGGGACCCATCTTCCTGCTAACAGCGCTGGGCTGAGTCCTCCTGAGGGATGCATGGAGCAGAGCATCTCTGAGCACTGTTCTACAGGCGCTGCTGAGTGTGCCACAGGCATCCCCTGGTGTTGGTGTCCACGTGAGCAGACCCTGCCCAGAGGTACCTGAGCCCCGCCCACCTTCCCCTCCTTGTGAGTCCACGCTGCCAGGACCCCAGTATCCCAAGAATTACTGGGGCCATCCGTCCTGTCCTTGTCCTTTCTTAATGCATGGGAGAAATCTTGCTATGATCTGTTTTTCCCCCACGGCTGGCATTACAGAGGTCTCCATCTCCCAACTGGCCATTAAACACTTTCTGTATCCGTCAGCTTTCCTGTTGCTGGGACCAAACAGCTGACACAATTTACAGGAACCCTCCTGGTGTTCGAGGGTTCAGTCCATGGCCGGCTGGCTCTAAGGCAGGCGCATCGTGGTGGAAGGGTGTGGAGGAGCAAAGATGCCGCAGCCAGAA